ATGCATTAGTCAGTCAGTCATTAACATTGTGAGCCACTAAATTGAAAACATGATTACAATATTCATTACAATTACGATGAAATGGTGTTCAATGAGACCATAAAAGGTGTAATCAATTGTACTTTTGATAAGAATTGTTAGTTAATTACAAACAAGTATAGTATTGACACAACTTATCTAATGTTATGTTGGATTAGATATAACTTACAAATAATAGGAGAAAACACAAGTCTTACAGTTATTTAAGATAAAACCCAAAAATTCTATATTCACTGGAAATTTCTTATAAAACTCTTATAACTATTAAAAATTAATTTATAAATTAACTTCTAAACCAATCTTGAATGTCAACATTATAATAATTATACAAATTTTATATTAAGACATTATAAATTTTATTATAAATATTAATAAAATTATATAACAATTAGTTATTTAACTATAATTTAAATAAGAATTATTTAAAAGTATTTATACATTAAGAATCATATCAATTAAAATATATTTTTTTATAAGTATTTAAAAGTTACCATAAATTTGTTCTACATTTATTAATTTGTTAGACAATTTTTTTAATATAATATATTTTTTTATATAATTAAATGACAATTTATGTATTATATATGAATATATTAATAATTAGGATATAATCTATAGACTAATTTATATACAAATATTAAAATGTATTAATCGATAGTATATGAAATCACAGTTAGTTTCAGATATTGTACTCGACGTCTGTCTCTTCCTTTTCCTCGTCATTAATATTTCTGTTGGGAATCATAAATGATATCAACGCTGAGATTATTAGCAGAATTCCGGCGCAACAAAACAATATGTGGTACGAGTTTGTCATATCAAATATCACACCTAATATATAAATACAATTCAATTAATATATAATTAAATTCTTAAGGTATCAATAGATTCCTATCATATTTTAATAAATATGCAATATATGTATACATACCAGCAATGGGTGGCCCTAACATAGAGGCAACCCCTCTGAACAGACTTAGGAGACCAAAAGCGTTGGTCAGTCTATCGATTCCCAATAAGTCGACCAATATTATTGATGTCAAGCATATGTAAGCCGCTATTGTAATACATATAAGTTTTGGTCATAATTTGGGTATTATTATGGATTAAATAAATACATCGATGAATAACTTACAGACAAAAAAGCCAAACAAAACACTCGCTATTAATACTGACGTATATGTAATACAATACGGGATCGCAATAACGGATATTCCGCACAGAAATAGACAGTAATTATTAATAGTGAGAGGCGTTATACGAATGCCAGCAATGGTTCCGTTTCTGTTGATCACATCACTAATCAATCCAAAGCAGAGCCGACCGACTGTATTGGAAATGCCGATCACCGATATTAGTAGGGCTGCGCTGTCCGGCTTCACCATCTCATCGCCGTCTGGACACACAGTATATTCATTTTACATACAGAAAACAACATTCAAATTAATTTGAATCTTAAAATAAG